GTTTCTGTGTGGGGCAGAAGTAATTTTGCTAATTTCACTTTAATGCTGTATTGTGCCATGTAATGGTCAGAGTATATAGTGAGAAGGGGCTGGCAATCTGATCTGAGGCCAACTCCTCTAGACCACTGGATCTTGTTGACCTTGTAAGTGTATTTTTTTTGATTATCTTGTTCCTGAGTAAGTACAGGAACAGATGTTTTAAGAATGTCTCATGTCCTCATGAAGAGACCTCTGGCTTCTATATGTGTGTCACAAACTCGAAGGCTAAGGAAGACAGTGAAATAGACAAAGCTATCTCTCTAAAAGTGTAACAGGTAGTATACTCAGGTCTTTACTGGAGAAGCTTAGAAGTAGAAATCCTGGGAGAACGGCATAAATCATTCATGAGAATATTTCTAGCAATCCAATATCCCCATATTGTACAAATATTAAAAGTCCCAAAGTCTGCAACATATCAAGATCAAAATGAAAAATGACATGGCAGACATTATGCTGCTCGCGTTTTCTGGAACTTCTTCAAAGAGCTGACATGGCTTTCTGACTTTTTCCCTTCCCATTAAATATGGCTGCGTCAGTGTTGTGCATGTTAGTTCAGTAAAAATTTCTTCAGGAAGTATTTTTGAGTAATCTATGCCCCAATTATGGGGATAAAAATTATTTTTTTCTTAGGGGTACAAGTATTGGGGAAGATTTAAATGATGTGGATAATTTACTATCTTTGATGTAGATTTTTATTACATCAATGAATGCAACACTATGTTCATTAAAATAAACTTTCAAGTTGAAAAATAAACAGGTACAGGAAGAAAATGATGTGATAAGGCATTGCAAAAACAACAGTTTCTGAGTTTAGTGAGTCATCTTTCCAGTTTTGAAAACTAGTTCCAATTTATGTGCTTATATGGGGACTAGTTTAGTATATATTTTCATGTGTTATAAGACTAGGTAGAATTTGATGATGGTTATATCCATTTCTATCTATAAAATTTTATTGTGGAAATCCTAATCTCAGGCTCATTAATACTTAATAAGTAAGCAATTTTCTTCTGTAGGGAAAAATTATGATTAAAATTCATTTCAAACTCGCAAATAATTTATCCCCTGATTTAATAGAGACTATTTCTCTATTGTTTTCCTGTCCAGTATGTCTCCAGTGATATATATATATATAAGTGGTGTCATGAGAATGAAGAAAAAAACAGATGCATATAACACTGAGACCCACAGAAAATCTGGTATCAGGTGTTCTTTGCTCTGTGAGGAGAGACCACAATACCTCAGAAGCTTTGTGTCAGTAATACCTACATTCAAATAGAGTTAAAGATTTACTGCATGGTGATAAGAGAAAGGCAGCAATACTATCTAAAGCTATGCACATACTCATGCTTGGCTCATCTAAGTATTTTCTGTCTCTTTAGCCTTAAATTTTTGAGGTCTAATCATCTGAAAAGAGCAAATTATGGTGGAGAGTTTTTTCCCAAACTGCTAACATCCTCATGAGGTCACGGGAGAATGTGTAATGTGCCAAGGCTCAGGTGATAAGGGTAAGTTTGTTTGTCTTTTTTTTGTAGGTCTATGTCCATGGTTCTTGATCTAGATCTGCCCATGTAAACAGCTCTAGTTCACTTACAGACCTCCTCAGGCCTTATTTTGTTCCCCAGACATATTTACAATGATTGAAACTGTGACACTTTTCTTAAAACAATCTGCTCTGTAATCTCATGACATGACTTTTTTAACATTTTCTGTAATGCAGGAACTATATTTAACTATACAACATCAATTTAAATGAATATCCAATATTTCAAAAAAGCAGAAATTGAATACAAGCTTTACTATATTTACTGATAATTGAGAAAAATTGGGACTAACTGGAAGTTCAAAACAATCTATACTATATTCTATAAAATGTCAAATATTAACAATAATAATATTTATATAAAAGCTATAGTAGTCTCAGATCAATAACCTGTTTCATAAAATATACAGAAAATCATGCAGTAATTTTGAAATAACATAGTTATTAATAAAATTATCCTGGCATAAGTCTTCACATTTTAAATTATTATGGATTTCATATCTTGTCAAATTAAATTTTTATCATTTTGATACATGATTATGGTGTAATTCTTTTTGATAC